ACTTAACAAAACCAAAAAAAAAAAAAAGAGGGATGCCATTGCAAGAGTTACATCCATGTCCATTTGCTCTTGTTGGACACTCTCCTTGCCCAGTCAGTTTGAGAAGGGCATTTCTTGATAACAAGGACCTTCCCTCCTCTCTTCTTCTAAGGACTCTTTACAGAGTCTTTGCTGTTGTGCTTGAAGGCAGGTCCTGGTTGCAGCTTCAGTGGCACCTTCCTTTTGCAGAAGGAGCCCATGATGGAAACCAATCTGACATAAAATCTTGGAATTGGATCACCTTCCAGATGGGTCAGGACTCTGTATTTTTGTTTTGTTATTTATAGTGCCTACAGACATTATTTACAAGGCAACGGTGCCTTGCACTTTGCTCGGGATTCTGTGGTATATTAACAAAAACTAAAACTGCTGAAATCCTCTGCATTAACACTAATTTTACCCCAGATCTTTCCGAAAAGGCTTTTGTACCATTTGGCAAGGGCAGGGAATACCTCTTCACAGTCACTGTAAGAAGTCTCCACATAAGTCCTATTATGCATTCAGGAAGATGGAAATGGCCACTCTTTTGCTGGTCACCCAGAGTGTGGAAAAGCTCCTTTTTTGGACTACAAGTCCCAGAATACTCCAGCCAGCATGGGCACTGGCTCTTGTTGCCCATACATACCTCTGGTATGCACCTGTTCATTATTATTGAGAAGAGCCACAATCTACAACAACACCTTAGCTTCCCATTTTCCATCGCTGGTATTGCCCTCCTGTTTTGCCGTAGTCCCATTTTGATTCCGCTTCTGTCAGCAGTTCCCATCTCATTTTTGCTATGAAAGGAAGTGCTGACATCCCATTTTGCCAATGTTTAGAGTTTTCCATGGGTAGGACTTCTTTATGGGAGTATGGCTAGGCATGGCCTGTGGCCGCACTGCCAAGGGGAATGTAGCTACCAGCCATCATCCTGCTCCTACTCTGTAGGTTAACTGGACCTCTGAAGATTATTGGTGAAGACTCCAGTAGATCAGTAGCTAAGACGTAAGAGCTGGAAAGTTCCCTGTTCAAATCTCCTTTCAGTTACAAACCCATTTGGTGGCCTTAACCAGGCTGCTATTAACACCGCTTTATACCTTGGTCAGCCATGCAATGATAGATATAAGGGATAATGAATTTTCAGGGATTATAATGGTTACTGATCTGTTGGAGACTTGGCCACAGTGCTGTATAGACACGCAGTAACGCAGTACTATTCTTGTCCTCAGCATAACCCTTCAGTATTATTGTATGTGATCAAGACTTGTTATCTTATTTTTTTGTTTTAATTTAAAGAATTCTGTCTACATAGCAATGGCGAGTTTGTAAAAAGTATTTGTTACCTGTCCAGCCCTTCTGGTTTACTTGGGATTTGATTAGCTGAAGCTGCGCTAACTCTTTTGGCCCTAGATCAATTGAAATCCAATAGGTTTGCCTTGATTTGGTTGTGCAGGAAGCAGACGCCAGATCCACAATGCACCATACTTAGCCATGAGTGCAAAATTCTATTCCTTCTGCAGCACCATCCAATTTCAGAATTTTGTGGGTGTGTAAGCTGATCCTCTACACACCCACCCTGCCACTGGCATGCAAGCCAGAATTCTCTCAGTTCCTGAATGGGGTGAGCAAAGTGTGGCCTCCCAAAGATGTTGGAATGCAGCTCCCAGCAGCCATAGCCAGCAGTGGTGATTGATGCCGGGAGCTGCAGTCCAACACCTTATTTTACCCACTTTGATATAAAGTGCAAGTGGTAATATATCTGGAGTAAGGCCCTTTGTCACATTTGGGAGGGGTCCCCAATAAATGCCCCAACTGAACTCTGAGCTGGTTCTGCATCAGGGCTGGCACCTCAAGCAGCAGATGCCGAGTATCACAAAGAGAAGCAAACTGTGTGTTGCTTGATTTGTCATTACTGCATTTTTACTCCCAAAAATGGAGAGGTGCTGGGATATTCTGCCTCGTGTGCCAAATTAATTTGGCTCATTTTGGGTACTGTGCACCTTAAATTTGGTATCAGGTGCCACTTGCTGCTTGCTCTTTTAGGCAGCAAAATGTCATGGGTTGGCCCTGCTTTGCATTGCAGCTGTGTAATTTGGCCTTAATGCTTCTTATTTACATTAGTGTGCTGGTTGGAAGAAAAGAACAGCTATTTTGTTTTAAAGCTTCTCTTCTTGGGATGAGAGCCTGATGCTGCAGGGCAGTGCAGCCTGAACGAAAAACCTTTTTTAAAAACAATACAAAAATCAGCAGCAAGTTGTCTGCATATGGCCAAATGTATTTTGAGTAACCTCAGTATCAGGGGTTCTCTAACTTAAGGTGTGATGCATCTTCTGCTGATGTGTCCCTCCTTAAAGGGACTGGCTTTTCCAGTTAAAAGGAATTAAACTCTAGGAGTGTTTGGCTTTGAAAGCTGATACCATTCACATTAGCTAGCCCTAAGCTAGCCCTAAGCTAGAAAGACCTATGCTCTGACAGGATATAAAGCAGATGACTACCTTTAGTTAAAGAAGAAAAATTGCTTCTTAATCTAACAACCTGATCCCAAACACATTTAAGTAAAAACTATTAAGAAAACTTGTTTGCAATCCTAGACATTCTTAAGAGTGGGAGCAAGCCTCATATAACTCAATGGTTCCCCTCACTTTTAGTATACATGCATATCTGTAGTATAAAACCCTGCACATACAGGAAGGAAATCCCATAATTTGTCTATGGGAACTGCTTTTGAGTAAAAAAGGCTGCTGTGTGTAAAGTTAGCAAG